ATTGAAGAATCACATTTGTATGGTAAAGGGTACAAGTTTTTGGTGTTCAGTATGATGGAGTTTTAAAAATATGCAGGTTTATGTAGCCAACATGCAGATGAAGCTACAGCAGCAGAATAATAGCAGGGTCTGATCTGCTTGTAGGCAATACCTCCCCATCTCGGCTCCCAGGAGAATGACTTCTGTTACCTTTATATGATTTATTTTGACCCTTGAAGGTTTATTACAGTTACCACTGAACTCTTTAACATACATTATCTATTATAATTAATTATAATCTTAGAAAATACAAAAGGAAGTCAAGAGGAAAGGGGAAATCAGCATCACAAAAGTTCTGTTGCTTGTCCAAGTAATAGAGCTGGAGTATGGACCACCTGGAATTTGAATGTGGGTCAGGTGATCACAGCAGCCTGCTGGGTTCTCTCTCCCTTCTCCAAGGGATTTGTATATTAAACAAGAAAGCTGATACAAGAGGAAGTAGAGCTATTAAGCTGGTTAGAAAATATTTCTTAAATATGATATTATATACATGAGACTTTGGCCTCCAACGTAAATTGCAAGGTGTTCAGTAGGTCTATAGTAAAAAAAATGATAAGGATATCTAACTGGTGCCTTTCTAACAGCTATTTCACATGTGTGAACTTCCTTCCTCTTCATTACCCCATGTCCCTAGGTAATCACAAAGACGCAGAATCATAGCATGATTTTCCCAAGGCTGTAAAGCTACTGCCTGCTGCATCCTGGATTTGAATCCAGAACTTGTACTCCTGAGCACACACTATTTATTTTTAGATTTTCCGTGTCACTTCAAAATAGATAAAAATCATATGATTAAAGAACAAAATTAAAGGATGTTCAATTTATGGTTTAATCATAAATCCTTTCACCAAACTAATTTTCTTTAACTCTGATATTAACCACTAGACTCACAGAAGCCGTTCATTGGCTGAGTCACATGTGTGCCTTTTAGCATTTCTGACAACGCCAACTAGAAAAGCGTTTTCCACTAATGAATTAAGAAAATATAACAATTAAGCTAATATCTCAGGATCAAGGATGTAGTCACCATCAAGCACATTCCTGGGATGTGGGGGATCTTGGTCAGAACATCCCCAGAAGCTCGGGAGTCCCTGCATTGGACTGGGTTGTATGCTATGATGTGACAGAGGGATGTACAAGAGGCTTATTGGAGGTGATGCTTCCCCATCAGCATGTGAAGTCAACTCCACTTTTTGTTACATCAGATCTCACCATGGTCACCACGGCCCATTTTTTTAAAAAATTATATATTTATTTTTAAGGAATACAAATCTCGTAAGTACAATTTTAGAAATGTAGTGATTCTTCCCACCATACCCACCCTCCTACCTATACTCCCACCCCTCCTCCTCCTCCCTCTCCCCTTTCAAGTCCCATTCTGCATTAAGATTAATTTTCAATTAACTTTGAACACAGAAGACCAACTCTCTACTAAGTATAGATTTCAACAATTTTCACACACACACACACACACACACACACAATTAGAACTAGTTTTGCAGTTAACTCTCAATACAACTCATTGAGGACAGAGGTCCTGCATGGGTAGTTAGTGCACAGTGACTCCTGTTGTTAATTTAACAATTAACACTCTTATGTATGACGTCAGTGACCACCCGAGGCTCTTGACATGAGCTGCCTCGGCACCACTGCCCATCTGATTGGTGAGCGTGCCTCCATTTCCCTGCCCCGCCTCTCTGAACCGGGCTTCTCTCTGAAGCTGGAAGGGCTCCCTGTCCTAACGGAAGCATCCTGGCCACCAAAAGGCTACCAGTGAGTCTGTCCCAGTTTTCTTGGTCAGCAGTGAACCTTTCAAAAGGGCATTTCTTGCCCCTCAAACAAGTTTTCTCAAATAAAATGTCTCTGCACACAACACGACGTGTATGTGCTGAGAAGGAGGGTAGGGAGCCCATTCGTCCCTTAAGTACGTCAAAGCGAATTAGAAATAAGAGGAAGGCAAATGTGCACAAAGTTATCCACTTACACACAATACCCATTTCAACCAAAGCTTCTGAACTCATGGCAGCCACTTAGTGAGGATCAATTACCCAACTTGCTGAGACTTAATTACTCCTGTGGCTCTGATTTACATGGTGAAGATTCAGATTTAGAAGAGAGCCTGCTAGAGCCAGAGCAATAAACAGAGCTCCAGCTGCTTCTTTTTCTCCTAATAAGTGGAATATTGATGTTTTTCTCTGCACAGACACACGTGCAGTGAGCCCCACGATGAACTCCAGGACCAGACATAAGACATGATGAAATACAGCATGTGTGCTAGAGGCATGATAAATGGATTCAGAGAAGGGCAAGACTGACATGACTCTCCGGGCAGACAGAATTTGAATTTGTCCTTGAAGAAGGAGCAGGATTTGGGTGAACAGGACACCAGCATGGGCAGGTGTGTGCTTTCTGTGGGAAGTATGAGGTTGACTCAAGAAAAGCAAGATGGGCCTGGCACTGTGGTGTAGTACGCTAAGCCTCTGCAGCACCAGCTTCCCATATGGGCACTGTTTTGTGTGCTGGTTGCTCCTCTTCTCACCCAGCTCTCTGCTTATGGCTTGGGAAAGCAGTGGAAGGTGGCTTGGGATCGGCTGGCCCAGCTCTAGCCGTTGTGGCCATTTGGAGAGTGAACCAACAGATGGAAGACCTTTTTCTCTTCTCTGTCTCTCCCTCTCTTCTGTCTCTCCCTCTCTCTGTCTATATAACTCTGCCTCTCAAATAAATAAATAAAATCCTTAAAAAAAGCTAAGCAAGATTCAATGCATGCATTTACTTTGGAAAAAGTCATATCTATAAATCTGCTGCCAACTTATAAAGTTCTGGGATTTTTGATATTGGATGAGGAATTAGAATCTTTTCTCAGATGCAGGAATGTTTAAGTTCAGAATTCAGGAATGAGTTGGTGAAAGGAAGCCTTCAGCATATTTTTCCTGGGTCCCTCCCATAACAGAAGCTTCAGGCAAAGATACCATTTTGGAAGCAATTGAAATGAACAGCAAATACAAATGGCACTGGAAATAGGAGACAAAGGGAGATGTCAGAAATATTGTCAAAGTATAACTGTTGGGGCAGATGAATATGATGGATTCCCAGTTGGGAATGCTGCTGCCAAAGGGAGGAGAGGTAGAGAGGGAGGAAGGATTGATGGAGAGGTGGTGGCAGGTTCAGTTTTGAGAGTGTTAGCCTTGACGTGTAAGCTGTGATGTCCCACATGTTCATCCTCTAGGATGGCAAACACTGGTAGCAAAGTTAGAGATGCTGTGACATGTTGAAGCAAAGAACACCATCAGGTAGCAGGTGGAAAGACCCTGCAAAGAGGGGCGTCCTTCATTCAACACATTTTCATTAAGTTCCAACTGTGTGCTATTCAGGGCACTATTGGGGAATGCAATTTCCTTGTCTTAATTGATCATAAGGAGGGGAAATGACATCCTTGTAACAGATGCAACAATGCGGCAAGAAAGCGTTTGTATGTGAAGTTCTAGAAAGAGGGGAGAGTAGGGGGACCTTGCAGTGCCTCTGGGAGAGCTGGAGGGGGAAGTTCACCAAGTGCAGGCGATGCAGAGCCGGGTTTCAGTAATTCTCCAGGAAAGTAAGTGAAGGAGCCTGCTTTATGGAGGGGGCAGATGCAGAGACCAAAGCAAAAAACAACACAGCAGCTTATTGGTCTTATAAGTAATCTTCTAATGCCCATAGCATTTGATGACGTGGTTCACAAAATGCAGTGGAGGGGGTCATGAGGATGTGAAATGGAAGACAGTGGGGTCCGTGGTCTGTTGCTCTCCGTGGGTGGGGAGCACCTGCCGAGAAGAGGAAGGAGGCTGTTCAGGGCTCAGGACAGGAGCAGTTCCTGTGATCGTCATCCCAAGGGGCCTATTCAGCTCCTACAGCTCCATGTAAAGTGGGGATTGTCCTCATGGTTTTACAGATGAGAACACTCAAGACAAAAGGCGTTGGCCTCAGATTCCATAGCAGTTGGATTCCATTCCCAAATCACCTCTGGCTCTTTCAGGACGGGGTTTCCTGTTTGCTACAGTCCCTTGGGCCTCTGCCCTCTGAGTCCCACCAGGGCCATGATGTTTTCCCATGACCCCCTCAGTGGGGCAGTGAAAACTGTGAGTTTCCACGTGTCCCAGGAGGGACCTGGGGACAGAGCCCAGGCTGGGATTTCTGCGGTGTGTTTTGTGGAGTAGAAGGACTTCAGGACTGCTGCCTGCCAGGGGATGAGCTCGTCTCTTTGCAAAGGGTCAGGACATTTAACCACAGAGCGAGATGCAGAGAACTGACAGGTGCAATCTCCATCTCTGGTCTCCCTTTCTTCCTGCCGTGGGTTTAAAAAGTACTGAAGAAGAAGTAATTTACTCTATTTTTAAAAAAGATAAACACACACAAGGACATGGGACAGGACAGAGGGACACAAGGTGAACTGTGGTCATTGGCTGTGTTCCTGCAAGTGTCCGTTTCAGCTTCTTCCAGGCTTACAATCATTTGCTACTCAGTTCTAGTTGCCACATTCATGCTGATTTTGTCTATCTTCTACGGTCTCCTGTCCTAGTCTGCGTGAACACAGGGTATGCCTGTGTAACTCCACCCTAACAGTAGTGGCATTTAAAAGAGAAGCAGAAGTAAAGATACTAGTGTAAAACTTAAACTCAACCAGAATTTCATCCTGCTGAATTCTTTCCTTTGAGCCCCCCCCCCTTTTCTAGTTCCTTAAGTTATATCATTATTTCTTTTTGTGGCTAACATAAATACTGAAGGTCTTTTATCCAAGAGATATTTAGCTCTACAATATCTTCTTATCCCTACTTTTAAGAGCTTATACTTTTTTTGGCTTCTATTATGCTAATTATCTAAGAGAAACCTTTTAAACCTTAAGTGGATAGTTTTTAAATTTTATGTTTAAGAATACTTTTAATTACATTATGATTGCAAAATGTTATCTATTTTTGTTTTTTCAGGTAACCTGCTGTTGAGCCTCATTGAGATTCTAGATATTTGGCCATAACATGGACCAGTGATTGGCTCCAGCCTCTGCCCTACTCCAGGTTTGTTCTAAAGTGAGCTAGTGTTCCCACCAACAGTGGGTTAGTGTCCCTTTTTCCCCACATCCTCGCCAGCATCTGTTGTTGGTAGATTTCTGTATGTGAGCCATTCTAACTGGGGTGAGGTGGAATCTCATTGTGGTTTTGATTTGCATTTCCCTGATTGCTAGCGACCTTGAACATTTTTTCATGTGCCTGTTGGCCATTTGGATTTCCTCTTTTGAAAAATGTCTATTGAGGTCCTTGGCCCATCTCTTAAGTGGGTTGTTGGTTTTGTTTTTGTGGACTTTCTTGATCTCTTTGTAGATTCTGGTTATTAACCCTTTATCTGTTGCATAGTTTGCAAATATTTTTTCCCATTCTGTCGGTTGTCTCTTCACTCTCCTGACTGTTTCTTTTGCAGTACAGAAACTTCTCAATTTGATGCAATCCCAATAGTTGATTTTGGCTTTGACTGCCTGTGCCTCCCGGGTCTTTTCCAGAAATTCTTTGCCTGTGCCAATATCTTGAAGGGTTTCTCCAATGTTCTCTAATAACTTAATGGTGTCAGGACATAGATTTAGGTCTTTAATCCACGTTGAGTGGATTTTTGTGTAAGGTGTAAGGTAGGGGTCTTGCTTCATGCTTCTGCACGTGGAAATCCAGTTTTCCCAGCACCATTTATTGAATAGACTGTCCTTGCTCCAGGAATTGGTTGTAGATCCTTGGTCAAATATAAGTTGGCTGTAGATGTTTGGGTTGATTTCTGGTGTTTCAATTCTGTTCCATTGGTCTATCCATCTGTTTCTGTACCAGTACCATGCTGTTTTGATTACAACTGCCCTGTAGTATGTCCTGAAATCTGGTATTGTGATGACTCCGGCTTTGTTTTTGTTGTACAAGATTGCTTTAGCTATTCGAGGTCTCTTGTGCCTCCATATGAATTTCAGCATCATTTTTTCTAGATCTGAGAAGAATGTCTTTGGTATCTTGATTGGGATTGCATTGAATCTATAAATTGCTTTTGGGAGAATGGACATTTTGATGATGTTGATTCTTCCAATCCATGAGCATGGAAGATTTTTCCATTTTTTGGTATCCTCTTCTATTTCTTTCTTTAAGATTTTGTAATTCTCATCGTAGAGATCTTTAACGTCCTTGGTTAAGTTTATTCCAAGGTATTTGATTGTTTTTGTAGCTATTGTGAATGGGATTGATCTTAGCAGTTCTTTCTCAGTCATGGCATTGCTTGTGTATACAAAGGCTGTTGATTTTTGTGCATTGATTTTATATCCTGCCACTTTGCCAAACTCCTCTATGAGTTCCAATAGTCTCTTAATAGAATTCTTTGGATCAAGCCACTATGGAAGTCAGTCTGGAGATCCCTCAGAAACCTGAATATAACCCTACCGTTTGACCCAGCCATCCCACTCCTTGGAATTTACCCAAAGGAGTTTAAATTGGCAAACAAAAAAGCGGTCTGCACCCTAATGTTTATTGCAGCTCAATTCACAATAGCCAAGACCTGGAACCAACCTAAATGCCCATCAACGGTAGACTGGATAAAGAAATTATGGGATATGTATTCTTTAGAATACTATACTGCAGTAAGAAACAATGAAATCCAGTCATTTGCAACAAAATGGAGGAATCTGGAACACATCATGCTGAGTGAAGTAAGCCAGTCCCAAAGGGACAAATACCATATGTTCTCCCTGATCGGTGACAACTGACTGAACACCAAAAAGGAAACCTGTTGAAGTGAAATGGACACTGTGAGAAATGGTGACTTGATCAGCATAGCCCTGACTGTTAATGAGCAACTTAATACATTATCCCTCTTAGTGTTTTTTTTTGTCTGTTCTACTTAATATGACTGGTTTAATTCTGTAATTATCACACAGTTATTCTTAAGTGTTGAAAATTAACTGAAATGTGATCCCTGTTAAACATAAGAGTGGGAATAAGAGAGGGAAGAGATGTATAATTTGGGACATGCTCAAGCTGACTTGTCCCAATTGGTAGAGTTAGAAACATACCAGGGGATTCCAATCCAATCCCATCCAGGTGGCATGTACCAATGCCATCTCACTAGTCCAAGTGATCAATTTCAGTTCACAATTGATCATAATGAAAGGACTAAGAGTCAAAGGGAGCACATAAACAAGTCTAGTACCTGCTAACACTAACCGATAGAATAAATAAAGGGGAGAGTGATCCAACATGGGAAGTGAGATACTCAGCAGACTCATAGAATGGCAGATGTCCTAAATAGCACCCTGGCCTCAGAATCAGCCCTAAAGGCACTCGGACCTGGCTGAAAAGCCCATGAGAGTATTTCAGGCATGGAAAGCCAAGACACTCTGGCAAAAGATCTCTGTGAGTGAGATCCCAGTGGAAAGAACAGGTCTTCAAAGAAGGAGGTACCTTTCTCTGAAGGGAGGAGAGAACCTCCACTTTGACTATGACCTTGTCTAAACAAGATAAGAGTCGGAGAACTCAAGGGGCTTCCATAGCCTTGGAAACTCATGACTGGAGCATAGGGAGATTACTGATGCCATAAACAGGAGTGTCAATTTGTAAAGTCAACAACAGGAGTCACGGTGCACTTACTCCTCATGTAGGATCTCTGTCCTTAATGTGCTGTGCATTGAGGCTTAATGCTATAACGAGTACTCAAACAGTATATTTCACTTTGTGTTTCTATGGGGGTGCAAACGGTTGAAATCTTTACTTAATGTATACTAAACTGATCTTCTGTAAAAAAAAAAAAAAGAAATTATCAATTCCCAACTTGACTCTCACTGGGATTAAACATGACAATAGGTCTGATCTGATTTCATCATCATTTAAAAAAAAATCATCTATTATTTTTCACTTTATGTTTCTGTGTGGGAGCAAACTGTTGAAACCCTTACTTAATGTATACTAAGCTGATCTTCTGTATATTAAGATAATCGAAAATGAATCTTGATGTGAATGGAAGGGGAGAGGGAGTGGGAAAGGGGAGGGTTGTGGGTGGGAGGGACAGTATGAGGGGGAAGCCATTGTAATCCATAAGTCATACTTTGGAAATTTATATTTATTAAATAAAAGATAAAAAAAATAAAAAAAAATAAATAAAGTGAGCTAGTGTTTTTATCCTCCATGGAGCAAGGGAGTTAGGAAGTGATGGATTATTTCAGATGGCCTCAGATAAGGATAGGGTGAATTTCATAGCATATTCAGTTTACCATCTTAGTAACAGAGCAGGCCAAGACACATATCATTTTACATTAACCTTATAATAATATTTATATGATTCCCACATTTGCAGTCTCAAATTTGCCATTTACCAAATAATTTCTGATCTCTGAAGTTCGGGATGTTACCATTTTAGTCCCACTGTCAGCAGTTCTTTGTCTTTCTGTTGCTATTGTTTCTTCCTAAGACACACTAGAGGGGCCAGCGCTGTGGCATAGTGGGTAAAGCCTGCAGTGCTGGCATCCCATGTGGGCACCTGTTTGAGTCCTGGCTGCTCCGCTTCTGATCTAACTCCTTAATAATGTGCCTGGGAAAGCAGGGGAAGATGACCCAAGTCCTTGCACCACTGCACCCACCTGGAAAACCCAGAAGAAACTCTTGGCTCCTGGCCCAGCTCCAGCTGTTGTTGCAAATCATTTGGGGAGTGAATCAGTGGATGGAAGACTTCTCTCTCTCTCTCTCTCTCTCTCTCTCTCTCTCTCTCTGTATCTGTCTTTTAAATAACAACAAAATCATCACTAGACCATTCCAATTGTCTTTTTATTTATGGACAGTCATTAATCTGGGAACCTCCTTTACCTCAGAGAGGGGCACCAATTATTCATTTGCTGGATTTTCTTTGTCTTCTATTATTTTTTCCTCTTGTACCTTTTTCAATTCTCAATTCATTTCCCTTTCATTTGTACTTTTGTAATTATACTCTCTACAGCTTCTGTTAGCATTGTATAAAATGTCTGTTTTCTCTTCACTACCTCCAGTTTCTGAGACATTTAAAAATTTTTTCCTATTTATCTAATTCTTGTTCAGATTTCAATGTCCTAACATATTTTCCCTTTGCTGTTGTATCACTTCATGGGACTCTTGTATGGCAGAAGCAAGTTCATGGTAAGATTTTTAAACACGTGTGTGGCTATGTATTTGGCTATCCTTTGGTAAAAATTTGGCGTGTGTCCTTGTTTTCTTAGGCATGGTTCTCTGTGTCATTCTTTTTTCATGCAGTTGTATAGATCTCCTCTTCCTCTATTCTTATTTTCAGATGCGGTGAGGTCAAGCCAGCAGGAAGAAATCTCGTTCATAGAAGAGATCGTGTGTGTGATTTGGTTATTTTAGCCTTCGTGTCTCCTGCATTAGCAGAGGGAGCAGCTACAAGACTGTGCGTGGTGCAGAGACTCTCGCTCTCACTGCCTCAACCGCAGACTGCTCTCCAGGAATGCGACATGCATGTCTGCCTCCTCACTCGGCTTCCTGCTTTGCTCCTGGAGGTCCAGAGGCTCTGGAATAACCACTCACCTGCCCTTCCCATGGCTGTAAACGAGGCTCTGGGATGTGACCATTACTTTGTAAAAGTGCACTCTGAAACCTGCAGCTACAGACAGCCCCTCTATACATCTTCCAGCTCTCCTGTCTGACATTCACTATTTTTGGCTGTCTGTTCCCATGTATTATTGATTTTTCCAGATGCTACCACTTTTCATAAAAATGAACACATGCATTTGTTTTTAAAATTCTTTTTGGGTAATCACAACAGAAAAATAGGTACATAATGTCCTACCTTTTCTCTTATAAATTAGAAGTCAAAAATGAGAATTAGAGGCAGGCATTATGGCTCAGCAGGTCGAGTTGCCATTTGGGATAGCTGCATCCCATATTATAGTGCCTGTGACCAAGTTCTGCCTCCAGCTCTGCTTCTGATCCAGCTTCCTGCTAATGCCCCTGGGAGGCAGCAGATGCTGGCTCATGTGGGAGACACGGAGGGAGTTCTGAGTCCTAGCTTTGGTTGGGCTAGCCCAGCTGTTGTGCCACGTGGGGAGTGATTCAGAGGACTGAAGATTCTCTCTCTCTCTTTCTCTCTGCTCCTTTTCACTCTTGTTTTGCCTTTCAAACAAGTACAAATGAATAAACTTTTTTAAAATGAGGATTAAACGAATGAATAAGATGTAATGTTCTGTATTAAGAATAAGTAAGGATTAATTAGATATTGCATCCTTTCTCAGTACTCACAAGTTACTAGTAAGTCTAAGAGCTGCAAGTATGAATTAACAATGAACCCAGTAATAGGCAGCATATGAGTGCTATCTGAAGAGACAATAAAAATATGAGAAGTTGGACAAGGGAAGAGTCCCTGGGGCTGCCGTGGGCATGCCTGGAAGAGACTCTCCATTTCCTGATTCTCTCCCCTTAAGCAAGTGGCCAGAAGCCAGAACAAACTGATCTCTTTCCCACCTGTGCTCCCTACTCTTCCATCCAAGGCATCTGGTGCAGAGGGTGTGAGAGGATCCCCGTTGAGGGAAAAGGGGAAGCCACATATTGTCTGAAGGGTTTCTCAAACAAGGCCTGGTCCCAAGAGCCACCAGGAAGACAATGACAACTGATACAGTCTCCAGACGAGAGCTGGCCTCAGTAGTATCTGGTTAGGACAATCAGGCAATTTCGGACATCCCCAGGGTAGTGGACAGAGCATGGTGCTGGCAAGCAGGAGTCTTGTGTTTCGTTTCTGGATTTTCCACTAAATAGGTGTAGGATTTGGATGAGTTTCAATGTTGCTGAGCCCCAATCTTCTTGTCTGTAAGAGGAAGGAGTTACGCTGGATGATGTCTAAAATCACTTCCAACTTTAATATTCCATGGTTCTCTCAAATATGTAGAGTTTCATAAACATTGAACTCCCTCTGTAAGAGGGAAAGGGGAAAAAAGAGGATGAGGGACAGGGGACTAAGGAAAAGAGACATGCAGATGATTGATTCTTTTTTAGACAAAAACTTGGGGTGAATCCATTTCTCCTGCTATGTCTGGGAAAAGACTTCCAGGAGCAGAGTCTACAGTGGCCAGAGCTCAGTAAGACTTCATTTTCTACAGAAGGCTTGGATCTCTTGGCTGGCTCAGCAGCAGAAGATGCACCCACGTTAGACATGATTCATGTTTATTCTGTGGTGAGCTATGCATTCTCAGACTGTGTAATTTCTCAGAAGAAATTGGAAAGCACATCGTGTATTTTTACATCACCGTGAGCACGTGGCAACACTGGCTTCTACCTAAATGAAAGTTTTCCCTCTTGCTTTTTAGTAAGAGGACCATTTTCTCACTTTAGTAGTTTGATTGACAGGTCCCTACTAAGGAGGGAAAATGAATTTCAAAGACAGACCTAAGAAAAACAAGTTTTTTCTCTGCTCTCTCTGGACATTTGCTGCTCCAGGTGTTACAAGAAAAACAAATTTCTGCACTGGTCTAGTCCTTAATGACAGTGTTATTAAGATCTCCGAGCTCATCTGCCATTGCTCCTCCTGAGAAGCCGGGAGCACTGCTCCCTACTGACTCAGGCCTACAGAGGGATCACGATTCGCTTTGTTGGCAGGACCTGAATGCCCTTTTATGTTGTTTGTAGGAACATCGGGGTACCCATGAAAGTGGGGAGGGCAGGGGAACAAGGCCAGGCTCTGGTGGCAGCTGATTGCCTTTGGTGTTTAGTCACAAAGCCTCTGGGTTGGTAGATCTGGGATGTGGGTACCACTCCCCCTTCTCCTCCAGTCTGCTCGTCATGCACTGCTGACATTCAGCACCATGTTTGGAAAGTGCATGATTATGATGCGGCTGCTAATTGGTTGGCTCTACCACATCTGCCTTTGAAGTGTAGCGGACTTGCAATTTTCAATGGCTGTGGGGACAGGCAGAGCATGTTCAAGTGGAAGTCACAGAAAAACAAAACAACTTGAAACCAATTGCTTCCAAAATTTTCCCTCCTCAAGCGTGGATGAACCCTAAAAACAGGGGCCAGTCTGTTGGGGTGAGATTTGCAACAGACTTGGGCAAGAAATGTGAGGGGTGAAGGCAAAAGGCTGGGAAGGTGGAATTGCTCAGCCCAAGCAGCATAATTCTGTAGTTCTAGGATGAACTGGAGAAGACCCTACTGGGAGGAAATTATATCCCTGGAAATCTCAACCTTCTGCCTAACCCTCCCTGAGTCCTGAGGATCGTGCACAATCCTGTCACCAGATCAGTTCACTTCCTCACAAAGGGAAGATGTCCTGCAACCCTGGACCGTTTGTGTCCAGACCACGGAAACCAAACTCTCAGCAGGCAGCAGAGATGGTGGCATGAGGCAGCAGGCAGAGGCTGGTGTTGGTTGCAATAGGGGAAACAGTAGAAGACTGTACATAGCATACAGAGAGACTTGGGGTCACCTGGGTAAGACAAGAGGCATTTACTATGGTCCAAATCAACTCTGCCAACTTCATGATCCCTCTTGGTTCTGGGCATCACCGACTCTGAGGTTTCTGATGCTGTGCCCCTTTCCCTCGACACCCAGCCTTTGTGGTCTCCTGCAGTCCTACTCCTCTTCAGTGCCAGTGAGAGTTTCACTTTTCCAACCAACTCTTTTGCATGGATTCTTGTGATTCTGTTTGCTGTTACCATGGTTTCTAGCTCTTGCTTCTGGATGCTCTCTTCATTCTCCCTTTGTTTCAATCCTGTCCCCACAATGCACTCCTGACCACAGCCCTCAGGGCTTCTGCTTGCCAGGACGTTTGGACAAGCAGATTATGTACCCTGGGCAGGCAGATGCAGAAGGACATGTGTTAATGTTGCTACTTTGCACTAAGATCCTAATCTTGGCGCTTCAACTGATAGTTTGGAGCCAGGGCAGACTTGATTCTCTATGTTCCTGCTGCTGTTACATACAGTCCTCATTAGACCCCTGCTGCTTTATCAGAGGAAGTATGATGGGGAGGCAAAGATTCGGCATCAAGTGCACCTGAGTCTGATTCCCAGTTGTGCTCTTTATTAGCCAGCTGTTGTGGCACATGCTCCAACCTCTCTGGGCCCAGTTCTGCATCCGTCTATGGAATGGGAGGGGTGCAGTTTGCTACCAAACCTTGTGACAGTGGTGTGCTTGGTTTGCAGAAATGTCAGTTCTCATCAGTGCAGTCATTAAATATGTATGAGTACCTACTGTGTCCCAGGAACTGTTCTAGTCACTGAGGATGCCGAAACGAACCATCAGGATTCCTTTCAGCCACTGGCCCATTTCCCCGGGCACCTGCAGGGGCAGATGGAACTCATCGCCCGTGTAGAAACATTGCTCTGCTTTTAAGCTTTGACTGTAGTCTGAGGAAGCTCTCCCTATTAAACTTGAACAGCTCATGTTTGAATGTCACAGAGCACAGTTGGAGAATGTTTCTGTCTCTTATACATGCACACACATACACAGTGCACACACACATACAACTCTCCCCACTCACTGGGCCAAGTCCGTGCTCCCCAGTCTGATAAATCCCTTCAGTCACCCCTGGTCAAATCCCTGCACAGACTCTTTTCCCATGCTCTGGCATGCGTCTTCCACAGCAAGTCCCCCAGGCTCCCCTTGACTTCTCACACCCAGCAGAGCACTCTACTTTTTTTTTTATTTCTGACAAAATTTTCACTAAATTCTCTAGGATATCACTTTCCTCAGGCTTCTCAAAGTCTGTGATGGGATCCTTCCCACTTGCTACAACATTTCAAAGCCCCTGTTGTGATCTTGGGTGCACCTTGTAGCCTCTCCACTTCTCTGCTCATTTCCTCTTCTGCCAGCTGCTGGACTGAAGAAGTTCCTGCCTTCTTTCAGGGGCTCATTCCACATGGGGTCTTGATGCCCAGGCTTTGCATTGACTTAGGGTTGGGGGCTTGCCCGTGAACTTCCTCACACTTCCATGTTCCATCAGTCCCCACTCTGCATCCTTTGTATACAAACACACTCAAGCCTTGTCTGACTTCCCCATACATCACAAACCAACTATTTTTTAAAGAAAGATTTAGTTATTTGAAAGGCAGAGAGAGAGAGAGAGAGAAGAATTAGAATCTTCCATCTACTGGTTCACTCCCCAAATGTCCACAATGCCCGGAGCTTGTGGAGGCTGACGCCAGGAGCCAGGAACTCCCTCCTGGTCTCCCATATGGGTGGTGGGGGTCCAGGCTCTTGGGTTGTCATCCACTGCCTTCCCAGGCACATTGGCAGGGAGTTGGATTGGAAGTGGAGTAACTGGAACTTGAACTGCCATATGGGATGCTGGTATTGCAGACAGTAGCTTAACCTGCTACACTACTGTGCTCCAGTTCTAGTGTTTCTTTTAATTTCACATGCAAACTTACTGGAAACATTTTCGAATAGACATATTTGACCAGCTAATATGTAGTTAATATATTTTATATGTATTTAATATGTAATAAAATTGATATATCTTACTAAGTACATGCAAAAATATTTTTACTGCTAGCCATTTTCTTTTTAATACTAGTATATATTTTCAACTTTCACCATTTTAATAAAATATTTTTACCCAAAACTACCAATCTCACTCTTAAATCTAATGATATTTTGTAGGCTCCTCTTCTACTGAACTGTTTACCCACAGTTGGCTGCTGACCAATTATAAATTAAAATCTTATAATCTCCCTGATTTGATCTGACACATTCTTGGTCTAACCTAGGGATTAGCAAACATTCTGTGTAAGGGGTCAGATGGTGAACGTGTGTTTTAGGAGGGTCATTTGATCACTGCTGCTCGGCCTGGTAGCCAAGAAATAGCCATAGACAAAACATTAAGCAAATTGGCATGGCTGTGTGCCCCCCAAACTGTATTTATAAAGCAGATCCATTGACCTATGAGTGATAAAAGATATCCATGCCCCAAGCCGAGACCTGTGACCACTACTTTTAATGGTTCAAAAAAAATAGTCTTTGCAGCTGCGATTAAACGAAGGCTCTGGAGGAGCTGGCTCTGAATTATCCAGGCAGGTCCTGAAGGCGGTCCCTCGACGCAGAGGGAGAGTGGCTGCTGCCCGTGGATGGAAGAGGAGAAGGTGTGCCCAAGGAGGTAGAGACCAGGACCAGGAGGCTATAGAACCATCAACCAGGAAGCCAGGAGCCCTTGGAGGCTGCAACAGGCCAGTACAGGAGTCTTTCAAGAACCACAGGCCGCAGCTCAGCTCCACCAGCTCCTTGAGCTGAGCCCCACGAGACTCATTTTAAGTGCTGATTGCAGAGCTGTCGAATGAATTCCCATTGTTTTTTTTTTTTTTCTTTTTTTTTTTCTGACAGGTAGAGTGGACAGTGAGAGAGAGAGACAGAGAGAAAGGTCTTCCCTTGCCGTTGGCTCACCCTCCAATGGCTGCCGCGGCTGGTGCACTGCACTGATCCGAAGGCAGGAGCCAGGTGCTTCTCCTGGTCTCCCATGGGGTGCAGGGCCCAAGCACTTGGGCCATCCTCCACTGCACTCCCTGGCCACAGCAGAGAGCTGGCCTGGAAGAGGGGCAACCGGGACAGAATCCGGTGCCCGACCGGGACTAGAACCCGGTGTGCTCGCGCCGCAAGGCGGAGGATTAGCCTAGTGAGCCGCGGTGCCGGCCCGAATTACCATTGTTTTGAGTCACTGACTTCCGGGGACACAAACCCACCCTCAGTACTCACTGCCCATTAACTCACTTTCCATACACCTTCCTCCTTTGAAGCCCTCCCCTCGGGCTGCACCCTCCTGTCCTTGTCTTTTCATGACCAGTGACCACACTCCTGGAAGTGCCCTCACCTCACTGTGGACTGCAGATTCTGACTCCTACTTCTCTTCCTTGTGTCCATTCATCGTCCTGCGGCTTCAACACCCAGGAGGACGTCCAGCTGAATGCCTTGACTTGAGGCCCTCGAAGAACTTGATTCCAACAAACGTATTCTTCATTCCGTTTCAGGAGTCACTGCCATGACCACCTCCTTGGCCCATGTCACTCAGAATTATTGCACATTGTGAACCGAGTTGACCATGAATGTCTTGGACTTGTCTTTTCCCCCGCCTCCACCTCCCACTTCCTTCTTCCCATGACCCTGCATCTTTGACCTCATTCAGCAAGCTTCCGCCTCATCTTGGCCCTGTCCCCTCTGCCTGACTTCCTGTCCCTTCACATGTGAGTCACAGAGAAGAGCACTATCACCATTCTTCTGTCTGCTTTTCTATTCTCTTGCTCCCCTGTCTTTCTGTGTGGAAATTCAGATACCTACTTCACACCACCCCAAACTCACAGTCCCTCAGTTTCACTGCCGAAGTAACAATCCTTTTATTGTTCTAGAACACTGTTTTCATTCTTCTTGCTAAGCTGCTTCCTTGTCTGTTAAGTGTTGAGTTTTAGCTTTTCCTTGGGGCTATCAATCATTTATAGATGGTTGAAAACAAAGAGTTTGGTGCTTCCCATGTTCTAGTCTGTATCTAAATATTTTCCCCTTTCATGTCAGCATTGCCAGTCATTGCTTCTGTTTGCTTGTTTGGATTTTGTTGCTGCAACTCACTGCAGACTCCTTGATTCAGATTATGGTTGATAAACTTTCCATTGGCTTTTGTATGTGTCTAACTGTAGAGCCATATTTCTTTCCTTTTCTTGTCCTTACATTGCTTAATTTTGGATCCCAGTGTTTGGATTCACATTGACTGCAGAGTATAGACAGTGTGCATGGAGGCATCTGCAGTTTTTAATCTGCCTTTCCATTGCACGCCTCTGGTCTGCTGTCAGCTGATCTCTCCTTTCCTGTGTGTACACATTCATGTCGTTTAGTTGGGATTTCATTTCTGTCTTACTCTCTGCATCTTCCACCACAGGGTGTGGTCTCCAGCTCTTACCCTGGGCAACCTCACTCAGGGTTCAGTGATGGGGTAGGCTGGGGCCCAAGTAAGAGCAATGAATGTCTGACTGAGGAGTTTCAGGGGAACGCTATTGTCTGTTGCCATGGACAGCAAAGACAATGCA